GAAGCTCCATATGACAACATGTCATCAGTGAGCAAATGTCCCAGGAAAGCAAGCAGATGTGTCCAGAAAGATTCTGGTGTCAGTTCCTGGGGAAGCAACCCAAGCAACATGGCTCCAACATCCATCATTTCAAAAACCAATGGAGGTAATCTCACCAAATGTCCTTGATAAGCTCAGTCCACAAAACCAAATTTTGAAAACCGCTGCAAAATTTGTGGTGATGTTTTTCGAAGTCATGGTTCATTTTGGGCTCATATGTTGTTCCATAAAAGTATGGAAACCTTAAGGACTTTGTGGATTGTTTTGAAGGCAAGAGCCTGATAAACCAGACATACATCAAGTATCATGTTAAGATACATTCTCAGGGTTTTACACAGACTTTTAAAAATGGGAGTCATGGTGACTCACAATATTTATTTTTGGGAGTCATTTTCAATATTTGGGAGTCATGAAAATTTTAATATTTCTTGGTGTTAATCATTCTCAGTATGTAACTGCCTATGTCACACCACCAAATGAAACTACAGCATTGCTCAGTTCAAACAGCCAGGATTACTGTCTCCTCTGAGTTCTCTGGAACAATCTGAAAGCTCTGTAAAAGTCAAACTATCATCAAACAATATCAGGTTTTTTGCTTATCAAATCAATTTTATTGAACTGAATTGTGAGGGCCACCCATAAAACTTGCATCAAGCATGACTCGTATGATAATATTTTGAGAGTCGTTCACAACATTGTTGCGTCAAATACGCAGGAATCGCGCGTCATGTAAAACCCCGATTCTTCAGAGAAGCCATTAATGTGCAGCATCTGTAACAAAGCATTCCATTATCAGCAGAGTTTGACCTTTAACCTCAAGGTGCCTGCCAGGCAGAAACAACATCTGTGTTTTACTTGTGGACACCATGGTGCAGACAGGTATCGATTCCTCTCACACAAGTATCAGGTCAAGGTCATATACAAGTGTGATGTATATTCGAAAGTATACAGCAGAGAGGTTGCTCTGGTCAGTCAGAGCTGTGCACATGTGCAGTGGCCACGTTGACATAGAGAAGAGGATCTTTATGAATGTGAAGAACTATTGTACAAATAGAAAAATGAAGGTTGAAGGAACCATAGTTTTAGAATGTTCCAGTATTATTTCCTGATACAGAAGATGGCAGTTAGTGTTGAATGGTGCTAAACCTTAACCCACAGCCAAATTATACATGATCACCTCCTGTGTACTGCAGGTGACTAACAAATGTGGATGGTTTCGTTTGGTTTTGATAGACGACGGATTGGCTGTGATAGTCTCCAGTTTCAGCTGTTTGGTGAATGTTTTTAGCCCTGTGTATGTCTAGTGTTAGAGCCAGTTGGTGGAAGCACTGACAAAACCTGCTCAGCCTCCAACTAGTATCAAGGAATTCCCTTGTGACATCAGACAAGGAGGTCCAGGCTCAATGTTCAATGTCTCGCCAACACTTTGTGCATGTGCAGTATTCTGTATTCAAACCTATCTCATTTATTGGTTGACATTTTCAGAACAGAGTCTATCATTCAATATCCTTTGATATTAACTTTTTCCAGAGATGTAACCCATGTTCCTGAGTTTCAAGGCCTTGTAAATCATTTGGTAGCAGAATCTTCAAATGAAAATTAGATATCCAAACATTCGCCAACTGGACAGTGGTCACATGGGCTACCGTTGATATGATATGCAAGTAAAGCACAAATATAGTATGACCAGAAATTATTGAGAATTTTAGGAATGTGTTTAATTGGATTTCTAGTATAAACAACCTTCACCAGCTATCAAGTGCTTGGTTTCATTCAAGAGAGACAACTCCGTTAATCCTTTTTCATTTGTTTGTGAAGAGTTATCCCCCTTTGTTTACTTGCTAGCAGACGACATTTTCAGTGATCCTCAGTATGGATGATTTAGAGAAGGGGAAGTTGATTTTAGAGTATAAGAACAAGGACATCGGATCAGCTAAAGTGATTTCAAGTAGAACAGGCATCCCTTTGGCCACTGTTTATCATGTTTTGAAAAATATTGCAAATGGATATGGCATTGAGCACCAGGTAGGCCCAGAAAATTGACTGTCGGTGACAGGAGGCGGCTTGGTATTCTTGTTTCTAAAAAACAAACGAAGGAGTTTAGAAAACTTAAGGCTGGATATGATTGATAGAGGAACTGTGGCAGTCTGTAAGGAGACCACTAGAACTGAGCTGCATGCAATGGGTTGGCAGAAAAGTCGAGGAATTCCATCACCGATCATGAAACCTGAACAAAAGGAGCGAAGGTTGAACTGGTGCTTACAGCATAGAAATTTTAACTGGGACAATGTGATTTTCTCAGATGAAAGTTCTGTGTGGCTGTTTCCTAATACACTGAAATTCTGGACCAAACAAACTGAAAAACCTTTGTATCAGCGCCCAAAGTACAGTCCGAAATTTAACGTGTGGGGTGGCATATCTGTGTTAGGGGCAACGCCCCTCTGTGTTTTTTAAGGAAATATGAACAGTGAGCGGTACACAGATATTTTCGAGGGACTTTACTTCCATCTGCTCACGTGTTCTATGGAAATATTTGGATTTTCCAGCAGGACAACGACCCAAAACATCGTTCAAAGCATTCACAGGCCTGGTTTCGGACCCAAAATATGACATTATTAGATTGGCCAAGCTATAGCCCTGACCTAAATCCAATAGACGTTGTTTGGGGACTTATGAAGGAAAGTGTCAATAAGAAAAGTCTGACAAATATTTCTGAAATGAAAGAAGAGGTGGTCCGATATTGGGACAGCATGGACCACGACTTTCTAACTTCTTTGATCAGTAGTATGCCCCGCCGCATTGAAGCCTGCATTGCTGCCCATGATGACTTGACAAAATACTAACTGTTCACATGTCTTTGAATCTGGAGTTATGTTCTGCTAATATTCACATTTAATACGTGAGTTATGAGTGAAAATTTTTTAAAATTTACAATCTTTAAATTCTCAATAATTTCTGGTTGTACTGTAATTGTTTCAGTTGATAACAAGCCATCATTTAAATGGCCACACAGTGATTCCTTACTTGTATCAGTGAGTGGGTTTGACGCATTGTGATTCCGTACATGTATCAATTAGTGGGTTTGACGCATTGTGATTCCTTACGTGTATCAATTATTGGGTTTGACGCATTGTGATTCCGTACATGTATCAGTGAGTGGGTTTGACGCATTTTGATTCCGTACATGTATCAATTTGTGGGTTTGACGCATTGTGATTCCGTACATGTATCAATTAGTGAGTTTGACGCATTGTGATTCCGTACATGTATCAATTTGTGGGTTTGACGCATTGTGATTCCGTACATGTATCAATTTGTGGGTTTTGACGCATTGTGATTCCGTACATGTATCAATTTGTGGGTTTGACGCATTGTGATTCCGTACATGTATCAGTTTGTGGGTTTGACGCATTGTGATTCCGTACATGTATCAATTAGTGGGTTTGACGCATTGTGATTCCTTACTTGTGTCAATTAGTGGGTTTGACGCATTGTGATTCCGTACGTGTATCAATGAATAAGTTTGACGCATTGTGATTCTGTACATGTATCAATTAGTGGGTTTTGATGAGTGGGTCAGGCCTGTCGTGGCATCCCTTGCTTGACCAACACATCACCTGTGAAATTTGGTTTATTCAACCATAGTTTCATACACATTCATATATATACACCTCGTCAAAAGTATCGCACCACCCATTTGAAAGTCAAAGTAGAAATATAATTTTCAGGGGTGAAGGATGCACCGACATGCGACATGGATGGCATCCATACATCAGAGTGTCATCAGCACCATCAGACGACACCTGAATTCTGCAGGATTGAGAGCAAGACAACCAATCAGACGTCCACTCCTCACAAATCAGGACCGCCATGCCTGTTTAGCCTGGTGCCAAGCACGTGCTCACTGAAACCTGAGGACATGGAGAAAGATCCACTGGTCCAATGAAAGCCGAATTTTGCTGCATCCTACAGACAGGAGGGCACGAGACAGAGAGGCACAGCATATGATCAGAAGAACATTGGTGTGGGGGGTGTTGTTCCTTTGACTGTAAACTTTACCTCATCACAGTTCCCGGGCACTGAATGGACAGAGGTACCAGAACTTGATCCTGGACGGTGCTGCCTCATTTCGATAACCATGCTCTCGCCGCACATCCAGCCTTCATGGACAAATGCCAGACCACATTGCGCTCGCGCTGTTGTTGTTCAGCAACTCCAACACAACGCCATTCTCATTCCAATTTAGATCAAGCCATTTTTTCCGTGTAAGCCCGACAGGTTGCAAAGCTTTATATTTAGATAGTATATTATGGGCTTGTCCAACTTTCATAGCAAAATCATGTGCAAGCCCGGGTTTTTTTTTTACAATGGAAGCTACGCCCCCTGAACGCCATTGAGACGGCCAGAAGTCCAGACATAAATTCTATTGAGCATTTGTGGGACATTTTGGGACGTAGGGTGAGAGCAAAGGGATCCTCCAATTCAGAACCTGGAATTGACCCATGCATCGCATGATGAGTGGCAGCAGATCCCCCAACAGACGTCTGGTGGTCAGTATGAGACGGCGTGTAGAAAATGTTATCCAAGTGCGAAGCAGTTACACCAGATACTGAGTTAGCCAGTCATTGTGGACCTTACTAGTATGTTTAACATTAATGAAATGCGAACTGTGTTGTGTGTCTCTTGCAAGGACTCCGGCAGCCATACTTATTTCACCTTATTTTACGGTGATTTTAGTGAACTTTCCTACAATTAAACCTTCAATTAGTGCTCAAATTCGGTCTTGTGTTGTCAATTTTCTGACTGAACGCTCACATGAGGCCATCTAAACAGTTTAATGAGCTGAATCTAAGCACCATTATTATGAGGTTGTAGATCCAGTTTTACTTAGTGAAAAACAGTGGGTGGTGCAATATTTATGACGAGGTGCAGATTTAGATAAATGCTACATATCTCAGCAATGATTATTTCTCCAGTTTTTATTTACATAATATACAGAAGAAACAGTTATTATCAAAGAGTATTTAAATATATCATTGAATATACACTGCCATGACTAAATCAAATCAAGTAAAATGTTAGTGCTTCAAGTTCACTCACATCATTCTTCTGATAACCTTTAAAAAAGACAGAATTGCCGAGTTCTCCCTTCATTTTTAACATTTTGGATCTTGCTCAGATTTCCCAGGTTTCCCGGAAGTCCACATAACCTGGTGGCACCATGAAGAAGACTCCATACATGTGACACGGCGCTACTCACTGTACAGTACTCTCCAGTAACCTCACAGGTTAGACATGTGGGTGAACTTGACTCAGAAAAACCCTCACTAAATACTGTTTCTTCTTCATATAGCCTGTCTCTGTTGAGATTTGACCACAGGGAAACCTTCACTACTCTCAGCCATATGGAGCAGCTGTTGATTTATAAACTGTGATGTATAAACAGGTCAGGTAACAGTCTTTATTAATACATATTATGCATATGTAAACAGAAGTGCAGCATCACCCCAGCATGAACCCACATCACTCATCCCTGTAAGCATTACACACTGACACCACAACATCTAGTACAACAGACTCACAACACAATACTTCTACAGGCAATTCTCCAAGAACTAATAAACAGAATCAGAAGAGACTATTCTTGCTGAAACCATGGTAACAGTAATGACTGGTTAAAATAACAAATTTGTGTACACATTGCACTGCAGATGAAATCTGACTCTGAAGTTGTGAAATATAACAAAAACTCTGACAAACAAGCCCAACATGGCGGTACACCAAAGGAACATGTCCAGCCATGGTGTCTGGGACAGCCGGGTTTTACAGTCTGTACAGTCCTACAATTTGTCTAATCCAGTTAACACCTGAAACTTTCACCACCCCACGTAGACATGATCAGTTGTGACTTTTGATAAACCACTCGACCATGAGTGTAACAATACCTGTAGCAACACCGTAGCAACCAGTATAACAACTGTGTGTTGATGGTGGGAGATGCTGCACTGTCCATCTGAAGACACAATATTTTCATATCATAAACCAAAAGCATGGAATGCACTAAATAGTTAGTCAACTGTATACATTCTAATATGTTGATTAAATAATTCATTTTACCTGGACATTCTCATTCCAAATTAGATCAAGATATATTATTCAAAATCTGTGTGCATCTGGCATAGCTGCTCTCCAATAGTAATAATCCTGACTCAGCATTACATCTCTTGATGTCATGGAGTGAAAGCACCATGGATTACAATAATGCGTATATTGTTGAGCTACGAAGAGCAGCAGAGCATATTCTGTCCTGGTGTGCCTGCTTATGGAAAGAACCATGTTTACCTTTGAAAATCCCAAACATTCATGGCTAGTGTACATAGTGACAGATTCTGTCTTTGTTCCACAGAGGCTCAGCCATGATACAGAACACTGAAATATTTACAACTATACATGAATCTACACATCATCAACGACAAAATGTGAGAATGAAGGCGTAATAATCTGTCATCAGAAATGAAATATATCATTAAATACCCCTCAATACCAACATTGGTCCCCCAGGCATCATATCAGGTCACTCAAAGTACTTCATCCCCCGTTACATATCTAGGAATATGTAGTCTGACAATAAACATGGTGTATATATATACAATCACAGGGTACTTGCACTGTCTCTCCCTGCCATGACAGCATACAGTGTGACAGTAGCCAACATGGCTCAGTGTGACAGTGTCCAACATGGCTCAGTGTGACAGTGGCCAACATGGCTCAGTGTGACAGTGTCCAACATGGCTCAGTGTGACAGTGGCCAACATGGCTCAGCGTGACAGTGGCCAACATGGATCAGTGTGACAGTGGCCAACATGGCTCAGTGTGACAGTGTCCGACATGGCTCAGCGTGAGAGTATCCCACATTGCCCAGCGTGAGAGTGTCCAACATGGCTCAGCGTGAGAGTGTCCAACATGACTTCGTGTGACCACATAGCATCTTCCCCACTGATCAGTTGTTGCCAACAATTATTTCTTTTTCATTCACTTTGATGTTGGGGTTTGCTAGGGGGTCAAGGAATGGATCGTTGTCAGTAGCCTTGCGGCCCAGCTTGGACATGATGATGATGAAGGTGATGAATCCCAGAATGCCCAGTACAAGCACCAGGAAAAAACGTTTCCTGACAGCATTAGGGTCTTGCTTCTTCTTCTTGTCAACAGATCTAGCAAAGAATAACTATCATTAGAAATTTTCTGTCAGTCACAAACACTGATGCTTTCAATTAGAAACTATAACTAAAACAAAGCTTGAATTTAATCAGACAAACTTAACTACATCTAATATTAAATATACTTATGTTTATATAATTACCCTACATTACACATAATGCAATCACTTGCAGTTGAGCATATCAAACACTCAATGGAGGTCCTTACCCAGAGAGAAGACCTCGAAAAAACAAATCTCCCAAACATGCCTCCACCATAAACTAGGTCCTTGCATGGAGGAAGCATATCAAGTACACTCCAAAGAAGGTCCTTGCATGGAGGAAGCACATCAAGTACACTCCAAAGAAGGTCCTTGCAGGAGGAAGCACATCAAGTACACTCCAAAGAAGGTCCTTGCATGGAGGAAGCACATCAAGTACACTCCAAAGAAGGTCCTTGCATGGAGGAAGCACATCAAGTACACTCCAAAGAAGGTCCTTGCATGGAGGAAGCACATCAAGTACACTCAAAAGGTCCTTGCATGGAGGAAGCACATCAACACTCCACAAAGAAGGTCCTTGCGTGGAGGAAGCATATCAAGTACACTCCAAAGAAGGTCCTTGCATGGAGGAAGCATATCAAGTACACTCCAAAGAAGGTCCTTGCATGGAGGAAGCACATCAAGTACACTCCAAAGAAGGTCCTTGCATGGAGGAAGCACATCAAGTACACTCCACAGAAGGTCTCCAAAGTACACTCCAAAGGGTCCTTGCGTGGAGGGAAGCACATCAAGTACACTCCAAAGAAGGTCCTTGCATGGAGGAAGCATATCAAGTACACTCCAAAGAAGGTCCTTGCGTGGAGGAAGCATATCAAGTACACTCCAAAGAAGGTCCTTGCGTGGAGGAAGCATATCAAGTACACTCCAAAGAAGGTCCTTGCGTGGAGGAAGCACATCAAGTACACTCCAAAGAAGGTCCTTGCGTGGAGGAAGCATATCAAGTACACTCCAAAGAAGGTCCTTGCGTGGAGGAAGCATATCAAGTACACTCCAAAGAAGGTCCTTGCATGGAGGAAGCATATCAAGTACACTCCACAGAAGGTCCTTGCATGGAGGAAGCATATCAAGTACACTCCAAAGAAGGTCCTTGCATGGAGGAAGCATTGCGTGGAGGAAGCATATCAAGTACACACTCCAAAGAAGGTCCTTGCATGGATGGAGGAAGCATATCAAGTACACTCCAAAGAAGGTCCTTCCACAGAAGGTCCTTGCATGGAGGAAGCATATCAAGTACACTCCAAAGAAGGTCCTTGTGGAGGAAGCATATGGAGGTCCTTGCTTGGGAGGAAGCATATCAAGTACACTCCAAAGAAGGTCCTTGCATTGCATGGAGGAAGCATATCATCAAGTCCTTGCATGGAGGAAGCACATCAAGTACCTCCAAGAAGGTCCTTGCGCCTTGCAGGAGGAAGGTCACATCAAGTACACTCCAAAGAAGGTCCTTGTCCTCAAGTACACTCCAAAGCGTCGCTATGCTGGAGGAAGCATATCAAGTACACTCCAAAGAAGGTCCTTGCGGAGGAAGGAAGCATATCAAGTACACTCCAAAGAAGGTCCTTGCGTGGAGGAAGCATATCAAGTACACTCCAAAGAAGGTCCTTACACTCCAAAGTGGAGGAGGAAGCACATCAAGTACACACTCAAAGAAGGTCCTTGCTTGGAGGAAGCACATCCAAAGAAGGTCCTTGCATGGAGGAAGCACATCAAGTACACTCCAAAGAAGGTCCTTGCGTGGAGGAAGCACATCAAGTACACTCCAAAGAAGGTCCTTGCGTGGAGGAAGCACATCAAGTACACTCCAAAGAAGGTCCTTGCATGGAGGAAGCACATCAAGTACACTCCCGGAGGAAGCATATCAAGTACACTCCAAAGTACAGGTCCTTGCGTGGAGGAAGCACATCACATCAAGTACACACCAAAGAAGGTCCTTGCATGGAGGAAGCACATCAAGTACACACTCTGAAGAAGGTCCTTGCATGGAGGAAGCATATCAAGTACACTCCGAAGAAGGTCCTTGCTTGGAGGAAAGCATATCAAGTAGGGACATTACCTGTGTGCTGTAGGATAAGTATATTAATATATAACATGACATCGAGATAAACTGTCAGATTGTATGCATCTGGAGGTGGCCATCTGCTTATCATATGCTGTCCCAAAGTTAGCTTTCCAGGAGAAAGAGTCTTGCTGTAACCAAGGCCGATGACATTCAGATGGAAACAAGGCCACCATTGGGACAGTAACTTGGGTGAAAAGCCAAAGCGATTCTAAACAGCAGGAACATCCACTGGTTGTGGATACAGATGAATCAGAAATGAAGAAAGCATCAGTCACATGGGTGGATATGTGTTTGCAGATAATAGTCCTGAAGGTCAAGGTTGTAACATGGAAGTATGGTGAGTACTTTAGATTTCGCTTGTTGAAAAGGGAAAGATTTTTTATCATCCTCATCTTAGTGGTGCCCTTTTGGGGACAAAAAAGATGGGGGTGTACAATCTCAATGGCTTTTTTTGTTTAACAAAGTGGCAATACTGTCATGAAGAGTTTGATGTTGTTTGCCCAGATAGACAAAGATGGTGGGGCTGTTGTCAACGGTGTGTCAGATGAAAGTTGATGGCGTACCTGTGGCACAAATTGCTCGTAACATGTGTATCCTCCAAAATAATCCAGTAACACTAATGTTGCCAATCAGAATGACTGGGGTTCTGAGTTCCCGGTTTTGGATGGACCCTATTTCAATTCTTGCCCTTCTGGTCAGAACCCTGTCTGTGGCTTTCCCAAACGGCACCTGAACATCTTCCTGCCTTATCCTTCAAGGACTAACAGCGGATCACAAAGCTGCCCATCTTGGATCATTAGGACAGAGACTGAAAGACATGCTCTATTGCCTTGAAGACAGTCTCATCATAAGAATATGCTGAGTGTGCAATACATTGCCATTACATAAGGTTGAGGATGACCAGGCCTCTTTCATTCCAACATCCAGTTAGTAAGAGAGTATAAATAAGATTGATTTGACCTTGTTCAAAGGGCACCACTGTCATGTCAGTGCAGTTTGTCATAGATCTAATGGGATGCTCGTCCTGTTTTTAACAAGGCACCTTGAAAGGTAGGGTCAGGGTAGATTGTTGTCACAAACTGCTGGCCACATGACCAAATCGAACACCCAGGTAGTAATAGACGCCTGAATCAGATGATTTTCTTGACGTGCTGGAGGCACCAGAGGGGCCTATGGTACACTAGAGGTAGGGCAAATGGGGCAGAGACATTATATGGCAAATATCTGCGGCACTTAAGCCTGTTGCAACAAGGATTGTTAAAAAGAATGCATCCAAGCAGAAATCATAATAGGTGGATAGGCTGAAGACGCTGATAAACCCAGTGGGGCAGATATCCCAAAGGCTGCAGGAACAGTAGGCATTGATACCAGAGAGGGCAAGTCTGACGACTGGCCCTCGGGTCCTTAGAGGCAAATGTGGAGTGGAGGTTTTCTGAGCCTAACACTATTGCCAAACATCAACACAGGGTAAAGTAAAAGGTGTTGTCAAATATTTACAAACATAAAATTTTGACAATTGATCAAGGTCTGGCCTTCTCACAGCTTTGCTCTTACCACAGAATAAGAGCAGTAAAGGAAGAGATTGCTTTATGTGTAATGTAGACAAAGTTAACCATACATCTCTCCGACAAGAACTTTAAGATTCCACCACTGATCAGTGCAAATGCATAGTCACTCACTTAAACCAGCGGGCCATCCAGTTGAAAGCAGATCTCCTTTTGTACTTGTCTTCATCATGGTCAGGTGACATGTTGAATATTTCATCACCCTTTGTTGTGTCAAACAATTTCCGTGGATCAACTGAAACATTCAAGAAGAATCACAGTCACAACAAGAAGACTTATTTTATTCAGTCAATATACAGTAAAGTTGTTTTTCAAATATTTTCCTTCTAACTTCCTTGAAAGGCAGTCCTTAACTGTTAACATACATATAATGAGGACGGCTTAAAAGATTTCTGATCATCTCTGGTTCTCAACCAAACTGTTAAGTAATTTCAATAATGTCCTAATACAATCTTCCAATCAACATTCATACAGTCTAAGAATACATTACTAACAACATATTAAATTGTGAATTTCAAAACAAAACACAATTCCCCTGAAGTGTTTAAAGTAGTTCAGTACACAGTTACGTAAACTGATACCAGCACATGCAGAACAATGAGTAACCATTCACACAGTACTCTGTATTGTGTACAAGTCCATGTTGATTCCAGATCTTACTTGCGTAACTGGAACCTCTGTCCTGTCCCCTTACTGATGTGCCAGCATCCACCCCAATGACACTGTGCCCCGACGCTGCCGCTACGGAGGCAGTAGTAGGGGTGCTGGTGTATGGGCTGACCTGTGCACTAGGGCGGGAGTAGTTGGGGCCAACTGAAAGGGGAGGACTGGCAGTAAGAGCAGCCTCGGCTCTAAGTGGAGCATTATCAGAACTGCTCACTGCAGGTGGAGCTGGGAAATCAGCTTCTTCAATCTGCGAAAAAGAAATACACGATCACTGTACATGTATAGGGTGTAGGATAGAGTGCAGATCCTCAAACTTGTATTAGAGGCATCACCTCTTACAAAAACTTCAACAGTGATGAAACACGCTTGTATTAGGAGATCTTTAGGGGAACTTACCAAAGGCAGTCCCAGCCCAGCACGAGCCCAGTTGACCTTGGAGAGCATGTTCCTGAGCTGGTCAGCAACCGGGGACACATTGTTGGTAGGGGGGAAGATCCCCACCCTGCATGTCGGGCAGGTGTAGCCAGCAGGGGCAGTGTTGGCAGGGAGACACTGGGCGTACTGGTTAATGCAGCCCCAATGGAACACATCTGTAAATGTGAAAAATCATTAACTTGGTGATTCTTGGTAATATCTGATAAACAACATGCAACAATCACCTGTTGCTCTATGACCATTCTACTAATTGATCATCTGAAATGTCAGATGCTGAAATAAATCTGTAACATATATCTGACCAAGTATCTATCTAGTTTGACTAACCAGACACACTGTGGAACTGTCCTGCAAATGGACTGATATTTCACTAGTCAAGAACTGACATTTTCACACTTGTCTCTTGGTTTGGTGTCAAATCATGTAATTTTCAGGCTAAAATTGATATTTTATACTTATCCTGACTGCAAGAAGAAGAGACAAGCAAAAGAGCATGAGTCACGATAAGGAAAAAATTTACCTTTACTTAAAAGTGTTTATCAACTGTCACTTGTAGTCACAAGTTACTCCACAGTGTTAGTCAAAACCTTTACTAGCCCAAACACGGCTTTTGACATCATTTTCATTAAATCTTGTTATATGTGCTATTAATAGCTCAGTGTACCAGGCCGTTTTACAAGACTCGCTTCTGACAAGTGGTAAAAGCTTGCAGACTGCTACATTATGAAGCAAATTTAAGATGGCAGTAATTACAGAGAAGTGTTAAGACAAGTTTAAGGTGTCATACCATAGCAGACCAGTCTGACACACTGGCCCAGCTCCTCACTGCTCAAGTCCTTCTGGCACAGGGGACACAGTGGGCTGTAGTCACTGTCCTGGAGCCACTGGAGGTACGACTGCACTATACACTGGAACACACCAATTGAGAGAATGCAAGAGTGAGTGAGTTTAGTTTTACACCGCACTCGGCAATATTCCAGCTATATGGAGGTGGTCTGTAAATAATCGAGTCTCGAGCAGACAATCCAGTGATCAACAGCATGAGCATCGATCTGCGCAACTGGGAACCAATCACATGTCGTCAACCAAGTCAGTGAGTCTGACCACCAGATCCTGTTAGTCGCCTCTTACGAAGTATGGGTTACTGAAGATCAATATTTTAACCCGGACCTTCATGGGTATAGAGAATGCAAGAAAACAAAATAACTCTCCTGTTTTCAGAACAGAAACTTGATTACTTGAATCCCCATTTAGTCCAAAATCACTGATGTATCAACACACAAGATAGAAATAGAATCCCTTGCTTTTCATGTTCAGCATCTGCAAATGATGAAATGAAAATCATGTACTTTGCAGTTTCTGACATAAATTATTTACTGAGTTTTGAGATTCCTTTGACAAGGTATATATACAAGCAGTTTGCGAAATTTACGCTTGTCCTATTGTCCCTAGCTAGTAAAAATTCATTAGGACCACTAAAGTTTGCAGTGGTCCTGGTGGCCAGTGAATTTTTGTATTGATAGTTAAGTAAATCTACGAATGTTATTTTGGACCAGTGAAGTACAGACAGGACCACTAATTATTGTCCACTCACTGGTCCTATGGTCTAGTGGGAAGTTTGGAAAGGTTTCTTTCCCTGTACAACTACAAGGTGCTGAGCTTTGCAACAATGAGAGAAATGTAAATCTGACTTCAGAATAAAAGCCACCATACTGTCACAGATTTGGGACAACATTGTCTGAAAGAACAGCTGCTGTCCCTGTAACCCATGACTTGTACAGGTTAATCACCATTACTTCTAAAATGTTTATGCCATGGCTAATCCTCATTGTACTGTCAATGACTGTCAGCCATCCTGTGTAAGCTTTGCAACAATGTCACTTTTCATTTACTGTTGTTCATATTTAGTATGAAATCCTTGTCAGGCAGCCTAGGGTATAAGCCTAATAAAGGCAGCAATTTATAGTGGTCAACTTCTTTATTTTGAGGAACATGACATTTTGGAGCACTTCATCAGGGGACTGGTTAGCATCTACCCTGAAATGTTGCACACATTAATAATAAAGAAGTTACATATCCATAGAACTTTCCCTGTTGTTCAACTAATATGTTGTCAGATTTCAACGCATCATTACACATAACTAAGATGAACTATCAGAACTAAATTAATAAACAAAACCTAAATTTAAAATTGATTTCTTTATCTCATGTTTACTTCACCCCATGCACAATTCCACTAATTCCTGGGAAAGCTGGCTTCTGTAATTAGCTTGGGTAGTTCAGCCACTTCTCTTTTTCTTTCATGGCTATTGTCAGATGGTCAGCAACAGGCTTGTTAGGTTGTTATTGTTCTCTGGTTTTACAGGATCTCTTCAATCATGTGGATACCCTGGTCCCAACTTCTGCCAGCAAGTTGGTATATTTCTATCCACCTCACCTCAGAGCACCTTCTTTTCAATGGGGTAAAGTTCACTAATCTACAAACTTCAGTTCTATTACTTTGTATTTTAAACATTGTTTAACATATGTTATGTTTGGGATTACACTTTCTTAGTAAAGTACAGATTCTAGTACTTCTGGGGTTGAGTCCCATCCGGGATTCAAACCCACACCCTCAGTGTACCAAAAGTACTAGAATCTGTACTTTACTAAGAAAGTGTAATCCCAAATATAACATATGCTACATTTGACCACTTTCTAAAAAATGGCATTGTGTATTTTAAACATTGTTGTTGAAAATAATACTTTAGCTAACAATGTATTGTAATATGTTCTTAATCTAACTTACTTGTATATTTGATTTGGCATCAGATTAATAAGACTTGGTAATTCTGTTCATACTAATCATATTTATCCTGTAAGTCTTGAGGACCAATCCAGACATGGTCGTAGGGACTTCATAATCCCATTCCATGCTTAATCCCTGTACAAGTACTCACTTATCACTGAGAAAGAGATGTACGGCTGTTGTAATTGCATGCCTTGTGTATTTGGAATACACATTATTATCACAAGTAATGAATACTTGATTAACAGACCAATTGTTCTTCAAACAAAACAACCAATCGATCATCGTGGAGTGTTCAAATTGGATATATATAACTGGATTATACACTGAGACAAAACACTGTGTGTGAAATATGCATCATGTCAGAAAGTGCATGTAAAACCTATAAAACCTATAAATCATCATCATCTGAGATAAGGTAAGATATGTTACTGACTTGACACCTTGACCCAAACCCTGACACTAACCTATGGATCATAAAGGGGTTTTGGCTTGTGCTAGTTCCCTTAGGATCATAAAGAAGTGGTTGTAAAGACATGTCAGCTCCCTGGGTAAGAGTTCCACCCGTAACCCCCGCTTGAAATGTATTCTATTTATTAGGATTATTTCGAGGGTTTAGGGTTAGGTTTGGGGTTAGATTTTAGGGTTAGGGTTTAGGTTTAGGTACAGGCTGTTTATAAAAAAAACATAGGCGAATATTCTTAGGCATATAATGATTAAAAATATACGGGGGTTACGGGCAGAAATCTTTCCGCTCCCTGGACCCAGGGATTGGAACTTAAGCCACTGTAGCAAGACCAAGGCAAGTGATAAAGCAAGACAGCTGGAGCGCTTTAGCATGGTAATTGCTCCGATGAGAGAAGGCTTCATCTGGTAAACTGCCCTCTTACCTTTAGATTAGGCATATGTGCAAACATGTCTGAAAGGGACATTGTCGGCAAGGGTACTATTAAAGATATGTTCCCAAGTACGTTTCTATATACATAAATGTACCCTAAACAAAGACAAAATACATAAAGGTACCTGGTACCCTAAACGGCAGACTAGTCCATATTCCTCAACAAAATAAGGAAAGCAGTTCATGTTATGGTTCATGTCCATTTGATTACTAGTGATACTGTGCATCATGAAATATACATAACTGTTTACGTTCGTTTCTTATATCGAATGCGCAATTGAATGCATCTCATACAACATGACACTTCAGATCAAGAAAACAGTGAGTGAGGAATGGACTTGTCCCAGAGTATGTTTCTTTAGTTTCATTTAGGCTGTATACAGAAATGTACCTGGGGTACATATATGTATTGTAGTATCTGTGCCGACGTTCCATTTACTGGAGCCCTTCAGAGTAAATATGACATTGTTATTAACATGAAGCATAGCATTTAGAGGAACAGCAATAGCATAAAACCTAAATAAATCCTGAACAAACATCAAATTCTACTAGTCTTCCGTATGTGTCTACCATAAGGCAAACTGGTGAAACTGCCTGAGCAAGCCAGCTGAGCCTTATGACTGATTTGAGGCATGTCATGTACAATGCACAGAAGATTTGCTTTTTGACAGATTTCTCATTCAACAACTCAGATTATCAAAACATAAATATGACATTGTAGCCGTTGAATCGCACAGAGGACTGCCATACTACTACTGACTGGGTGACCAAAAACTGAAGATGAGTATAAGTACCTGTTGGTGATTAGTCACTAAGCAGTTCTCGCAGACGTTCACTCTATGTTCAAAGCAGAACAAGTTGGTGACCTTCCGTTTCGGACACTTACACAATCCCATAATTTGAAAATGTAACAGCGTTCAAATAAATTGTATGAACAACTACGTCAACTTTAGACAAGTCGCCATGTTATTTACAGCGTGGAATTCTCGCTGAGTCTCGCGACCAGTCATGTGATACAACATTGGTCTGAAAGATTTACATCATTTTAGTGATTACTCTACAAACGTAAGTGACAAATTAAATAGCCTGAGAAACTAATCATCATATGAGGTCTCGGGCAAGAACTCCATATATCCATCTGTAGTGAGTCATATATCAGACAAGTATCGAGAATGAAATTCGTCTGCTATGATACTCGGCGAGATTGTAATCAAAATGGCGTCTTCCATGATAGGTTTTCCGGTTGGCAAGGATTAGTGCGCCTTAATAACCTAAGTGCGTCTTAAAAACCTCTCAGTTAACGATATTCGTCACTCATTTTCGGGAGTACTGCACTTTACCGGGCGCACTTTTTCAGATTAATTAGCGCTGCTGGGGTTCCCTAACCCCTAACCCTAACCCTAAGGATCGTAAAGGGTGGCATACCCTTACCCTAAACCCTAACCCTAAGGATCGTAAAGGGAGCAGCGAGGGCTGCGCCCGGTAAAGTGCATTCTAGCCTCATTTTCTAATGTTAAAGGACCTACGATCTGACACGGTACAATTATTGGGGCCTTTTGGTTATGACACGTGCTTACATTGTGTGTCTTTTTGTAAAATCATCCACATTTAGGTTAGGCAGAGTGAGGTGGCATTTTAGAAGTGTGGAAGTACAATATAGACAAAGTTTATAGATAGCAAGTTCGTAATTTCGTGAGTGCAACGTTTCGATGCAGATTCTTGTACTGTTGTTATCCATACATATCCTTGAAATATGGGTTTTCACTCGATTATGGAACATTTGTTACTGTCTCGCTAATCTCATGAAGAACTGTAAAACATTTTACTAACTTCTAAAAGACAACTTTATCTTAAATCGAAGCCATCAACCAAATAGTTACAATGTCTCTGTAATGCAGCACTGCCTGTTATCATGGTTATTAAGTGAGTAAACACTGCCATCCAAGACATATCATCCTATGCCACAGTAAAGGACTGGTCGGCTCGAAGTCAGTATAATGTGTCTGAGTGGGGTATTCATGCTTCACTGCGGCATGGTATCTCAGTGGGCTAGCACTATGAAACCAGCTTCAGTCTGGGCTAGTACAAGCAGCCGCACATACACATACACACGCATGCACGTCGTCATATGAGCAAATATTCTCAAGCACGACGTTAAACCCAATTCCACCACCACCACCATTCATGCTTCACTGCGGCATGGTATCTCAGTGGGCTAGCACTATAAATTATTTCCAAAGTTTGATTTTTTATAAGGCGAAAGTGAAAGGGGTCGCCTTAAATATGCCCTGGGTAAATTTGTTAAACGCACTGCATATGCACCTGGGTTGTCTGAAAGACAACTGAACAATTTATTGAGAAAACATGCAACCGAGTCAGGCACAATTGAGGGGGTCGTATCAAAATATCCACTTTTGAAAGTTGACAAACTTGACTGTTTTCAGAAAGAGTTCTAACAAAAATAACTTCCTTTCTTTGCATTTTGCAAAAGCACATGTATACAGATCATTCTGACTATATCCAAATATCAGTTAGGGAAACTTTTGCATAAATTTGGGTTTACAAAAAGGTATGTGGGGAAAACAGGCGGGGTGCTGTGTGAAAGAGCAGACATTGTGCAATTATGCAACACATACTTACGCACTATCAGACAAAATTGTCAAGAGGGATTCGAACCAGTGTTTTTGGATGAAGCATGGGTGAACGCCAGCCACACTGCAAGCACACAGTGGGTAGACAGCTCCTCTACAGAACCATGTAACAGGAAACTGCCATTGGGCAAGGGTGAGCGATTCATTGTGTTACACTCAGGTTGTAATAGTGTGGGCTTTCTGCCTGATTGTTCACTCGAGTTCAAGGCGAAATCAAAAGACAATAGATATTACCACACTGAAATGAATGGGGATTTAACTTAAGTTTTCTTAAGTTGGGTGCAAGAAACAGAAATGTTTAATTGTTATGGACAGTGCACCATATCATAGCTTGCCGGCTCCAGATGCAAAAGCTCTATCATCCAACAGCAGGAAAAGTGATATGGTAGCATGGCTAGAAAAACAAGATCTTCCGTTTCCTTCAAAAGCAACTAAACCTGTTTTGAATGACATAATAAAGCACAACAAAGCAACACCAATCTATAAAGTAGACCAATATCTCAATGCTCATGGCCATGAAACTTTAAGTTTGCAGCCCTACCATTGCGATCTCAATAGAACTTATCTGGGGTATCATGAAGTCTGATGTGGGTCACAACAATACCACGTCCAAACTTTCAGACGTTCAAATGAAGCACACAAAGCCATAAGTAAAATACCATCAGCAATCTGGCAAAACTGTGTACAGAAAGTTGAAAATGAAGTAGAGAATCAGAACTGGATAAAAAAAAGTGGTTTAGATTATGCCCCCATTCAACCAGTCATCCTTAGTATACATTCAGAGAGTAGTGACAGTGAATCAGGAATTTCCTCATATTCAAGTCCAGAAGTGTTTTGATACAACCCCTAATTGTTGACATCCAAAGCTGCATGTGCTCCCGCGATGAGGCTAACCCTCGTAAAGCTTCACACGGAAAATCAAAACAAAATGATGATAGTTTGTTTAGTAACTTTTCTAGTTTGGAGACAAAAGTTTTGAAACTTTTTGCCAGAGTTGGTCTGATGTTTTCATTACATGTTTGATCATGAACCATTTGGGCATTAGATTGTCATTCATCTGTATCATTTTGACCCAAACAGACTATAGTCTTTCTTCATTATCTGTTAATCGAAAATAGTAGGTTTATTTTTCATCCTTCTTTACTTCTTTCATCATCAACATGAAGTAATTTCTTAATCCATGTTATCTTCAATGCATCACCATAAGCAAATATATTTATCATTCCAAGCCCTCCTTCAGCTGCAGGCTTGCAAATCTCGGTCAGGCTTGTTATCCCAAGGGAAACTAAATAAAATGCCATTCAACTTCTTAAGAAAGTCTGTAGGTGGTTTGGGAAGAGTGAGAAAGAGAAAATTGAATTTGGAAACTTTATTACATGAGTTTTTCCTAAAGGACTTATGGTTCTTTTCATCCATCTTTTAAAGTGAATGTTAGAATACCTAAGATAAGTACCTAACAAAATATTTTACTTGGATTCTCACAAAGAAACAAGTTCTCTTCAAACTACTTTTATTGAAACATAAAACCACAAAAAGAATATCAACTGTCCATTCCAAACATGTATGCCGTTCAAACATGTATGCATTCAAATCACTACACCCAAGACAGAGGCGAAAATGGACTATTTGGTAAAAATGTGTACCAAAATATAAGTCAAAACTACTGTCGGTTTATAAGAGCAAGGGTGGGAAAGAAGTAGCCAGGCTAGGCCAGAATCTCCCCCTTTTGATATAAAAGCAAGGGTGGGGAACAAGTGGCCTAGCAAGAGAATCTCCCCACTTTTCATACAAAACAGAACTAAATATCCTAGTTTAAACAGGGGAAAGTTGGGGGCTTTAGCCTAGCCCAAACTTTCCTCAGGGGAAAGAATATCCTAGGACAAAACCTCCCTCGGAAACTTTGGCCTAGAAGTAGACTGGGGAAGAAATGGCCTGCTACACGGTACACCACAATACGCTTTTCAAACAAAAAACAATGCATTGCAGTATTCTCTATGGTTAAAGTTACAACCTTCACAGTGTTTCCTTCACCTCTCATATTTCCTTTGTAATTATATATTTTATTATTATGTATTTTACATACTCTAAATTTTATAAGATATAAGATTATTCCTAACTATCCAACCTATTTTTACATACTCTAAATTTTATAAGATATAAGATTATTCCTAACTATCCAACCTATTTTTACATACTCTAGGTTGATGTTATTCAACTATCCTACATATTTTTGAGGTTGATGTTATCAGAAACATATTTGTTTTGGGGCCTGGGTATATTAGAACATATTATCTGCATGTACAATCAGTGTCGCTCACTGTCAAATAAATTTGCTCCCAATATATTAATCAATATATCGCAATATGTATCGCAGTACAATTTATTGTCCAATACAAAGCCCTAAAAGCAAGAGTAAAGTTCTACAGTACAGAACAGATTTATAAACATCTACTAGGGATTAACAAAACCTGCTGATACAACCGTTCATGAACAGAAACCCAGGATCCCTCATCCCATATGCTACAGTGAATTGGTCAAACGAGCACTCCACTATCAGCATCATGTTGTCATCAGTGTATATTTTCTACCCGATCTCATACAGTAATTACTGTATAAATAACCAATTTTCTCTAGTTGTAGTCCAATTAATTAACTGAAGATTGGTCGCAGTGACTAACATGTTTTCTCATAATCAAACACCAACAATTTTGGAACACTTGTTTGCCTTAACAATATTTCACAAGGTTGGTTTTGTCTGTGTCATTAAATTTACATTTCATAAACACTACCAGCTCGTTCCAAGTCATGATTGAATATATCTTATAGAATCCAGAAAAGTTATGTTCCTAACATACTAGTCATCCTTTAAAGAAGTGAAATTTGCAAATGCAAAAAAAAACACACCAAAGAACTGCATATTGTTTTTTTTTCTTTAGTTTTTGTCCATATAGCTGGAATATTGCTGAGTGAGGCGTAAAAATAAACTCACTCACTCACTCTTTATTTCTTGTGCATTAGAAACAGCAGGAAAATTTGATAAATTGCACTAACCAACTATTTTCAATGATTCATCATTTGTAATGAACCAACCAGTAATTATGAGATTTTAGCCAATTCCCAACGCCAGTATCCACTCATCTTGTTAATTCCTTTTATAATATTATAAACAAGCTGTCATCCATAAAGCATCTCACCCTTACAGGTAGTGCTGCTTTTGTGTTAATATCCTACAAAAATACCAGGGCATACATGGTTGTTTGTGTGAAAATAAAAAAATAAAATTTGTATTAAATGATAAATTCAGATGATCTTGATGTGACACGATGAAAAATTCTTCAAATGTGAAAATCTGAAAATTGAATGCTATTTGTTGAATTTGCCATTTAATCTGTGGGAGACCGTTAACAAAAATTAGAACCACAACAGAAACTGGTCAATGGCCAAACAGTCCTATTTAAAATAGAATGTCCTTTGTGTAATTTACATGCTGTGTAAACAGGATCATTTTCTGCTTGTCTCTCTTTGACATTGTACTCCAGTATATTCCAAATTACTTCATTAAATATCCAAGTGTTGAGAAGTTCCTAAAACTGCTAATGTCTGATTGCATTCCCATATCATGTCAGATTATAAACTGTCTAAAAATATATTTACTCATCTTTTCTCTGCTTCAACAAATGTATAAAAAAATGTAAACAGCTGTATGTTCGCTATTTCATTTTGTGAGATTTTTATGAATAAACCTTCTGTTTTGTTCTGGACAGCTGAAGGCATCGTCAGTGCTGTGACTAAAAGGCATAAATTGTGGCCATTGTAGCTGACAGAGTGATCCAACAGTCATACTATAAATAAGTATCAAAAATATGGGATTTTTGCAGTGTTGAGTATATTAGCCAGAAAACATGTCCAGCTGACAAGGACCATGAACACAAGACAGGCTTGTATGAGACATAAAATCATTTCTTGAATATATAATGAAAATGGTAGAAACCGTGTGTTTTGTCATGATTGAGGATGAGTGATATGCTGATCCTTCTCTGTCAGATTGAACACCATGGTGTCGCTCGACGTGGCCTGGAACTGTCGTCATCTAAAACCTCCCGCTGAACATCTCCAGAGGGTGGCCACCAGTTGGGGCATCACAGGTCAGGGAAACATGGCTTCTGAGTGGCTCTTCTCTCTGTTATGGTGCAAATGGTGCAGTCAATAGCATGATGACAGAAAACAGGAGGATATTATATTTCTGTTTTACAATCAGGCCCACTCTGGGGTTTTGGTCTTGTAATTATACTAAATAATACCCTCCCCCAAAAAAGTCTAATAAGTATGTATTTACTACTGTCAACAGTCGCATTGACTCTCATTAATTGACATGGCTTTTGTACAATTAGCTTTTGCATCAGACAAGATATCTGCTTCATATTTTTTGTCATATCTTTGTCAAGCCAATGTGGACAGGACCGTTGAGGTTTTGTCCAGTGCAGTGGACATCATGATGGACCTTGAATTCCTGGCCTCTGAACTCTTCGTCCTGTCACGCTTTCTTGTCAAACGAAGAAACCAGATGCGGAGGCACAAAACTTTACAAACACTGTCCCAGGTAAGCAGATCCAGGTGAGGCAGACACAAGGTATTACAACCCTGTCCCGGGTAAGCAGATCCAGGTGAGGCAGACACAAGGTATTACAATCCTGTCCCAGGTAAGCAGATCCAGGTGAGGCAGACACAAGGTATTAGAACCCTGTCCCAGGTAAGCAGATCCAGGTGAGGCAGACACAAGGTATTACAACCCTGTCCCAGGTAAGCAGATCCAGGTGAGGCAGACAGAAGGTATTACAACCCTGTCCCAGGTAAGCAGATCCAGGTGAGGCAGACACAAGGTATTACAACCCTGTCCCAGGTAAGCAGATCCAGGTGAGGTAAGCAGACACAAGGTATTATATTACAACCCTGTCCCAGGTAAGCAGATCCAGGTGAGGCAGACACAAGGTATTACAACCCTGTCCCAGGTAAGCAGATCCAGGTGAGGCAGACACAAGGTATTATAACCCTGTCCCAGGTAAGCAGATCCAGGTGAGGGTTGGATATTATGTTGGAAGATGGTGTTCAATGGAGGTAAGCACAGAACTACCATGGTCCCAGGTAAGGTCCCCAGGTGAGGCAGACAGTTAAATACAGAACCACCATGGTATGTGGGTCAGACAGAGGGTAAATACAGACCCTGTCCCAGATTAGTAAGCAGATCCAGGTGGGTCACTTAGGGATAAACAGACACCAGGTATTACAACCTAGTCCAGGTTAAATACAGAACCACCATGGTGAGGCAGGGTCACCTAGATTAGGATAAACAGAACCAGGTAAGCACACCCAGATGAGGGTAAATACAGAACCACCATGGTATGTGGGTCACCTAGATTAGGGTAAATATAAAACCACCATGGTATGTGGGTCACCTAGATTAGGATAAACAGAACCAGCATGGTATGTGGGTCACCTAGATTAGGATAAATACAGAACCACCATGGTATGTGGGTCACCTAGATTAGGATAAACAGAACCACCATGGTATGTGGGTCACCTAGATCAGGATAAACAGAACCACCATGGTAGGTTGGTCACCTAGATCAGGTTAAATACAGAACCACCATGGTATGTGGGTCACCTAGATTAGGATAAATACAGAACCACCATGGTATGTGGGTCACCTAGATGAGGGTAAATACAGAACCACCATGGTATGTGGGTCACCTAGATGAGGGTAAATATAGAACCACCATGGTATGTGGGTCACCTAGATTAGGATAAATACAGAACCACCATGGTAGGTTGGTCACCTAGATCAGGTTAAATACAGAACCACCATGGTATGTGGGTCACCTAGATTAGGATAAATACAGAACCACCATGGTATGTGGGTCACCTAGATGAGGGTAAATACAGAACCACCATGGTAGTGGGTCACCTAGATGAGGGTAAATATAGAACCACCATGGTATGTGGGTCACCTAGATTAGGATAAATACAGAACCACCATGGTAGGTGGGTCACCTAGATCAGGGTAAAGTAGAGCTGAGTACACACCCATTGAAGGTAATTCATCTACATGTAGCTAAAACTACAACTGCCATTGTTAAAGTAAACACAATTGGGAGTGAAGTACCCCAAATCCAATTACAATGTACATGTAAAGGTAGTGGTTTTGACAAGCATCTGCTACTGTGATTCTGCTCCAGGTTGAGGGCTGTCTGAAGCGCTACCAGGAAACAGACTTCGTTGGACTTGTCTGCAAAATGCACGAACATTTTAAACAGTGAGAGCCCCTTTTAAAGATATATGCATGCCCTGGCTAATCTGCATTCCAGATACACATAACCTGTCAAAACACACACACACGCACTCACACACACACACACACACACACACACATTCCAATATGTACATGTTATTTGCTAGTTCATTAAGAAGATAACTGGCAGTGTATGTGTCTGTATCTTTCTCATCATTACTCATGTCCTTTTAGAGCAAGACTATCCCAGCAGACTGGCAAGGTAGTTGAGCTGCCAACACATACCATGTTGGAGTACTTCCTGGTGCGAGTGGTGGGAACTGCAGCAGTGCTAGTACAGACCGTCAACTACTGCATCACAGCAACAGCGTATCCTCCATGTACAAAGCATGCTCAGCACTTAACACCTGACTTCTATAATTCTCTCCTGGCAGGTCTGCTGCTAGTCTGGCATATCCATTTATCCATTTATAACCTTGGGATGTTTACTTCTAACCTGGCATATCCATTTATAACCTTGGCATATTCACTTTTAACCTGGCATATCCATTTGTAGCCTTGGCATATTCACTTCTAACCTGGCATATCCATTAATAACCTTGGCATTATGTTCCTGGCATGTGTTCTAGTGACTGTCAATTTACCGTAGACCCCTGAAGGTCCGGGTTTGAATATTGATCTTCAGTAACCCATGCTTGTCGTAAGAAGCGACTAACATGATCAGGTGGTCAGGCTCGCTGACTTGGTTGACACATGTCATCAGTTCCCAATTGCACACATCGATGCTCATGCTGTTGATCACTGGATTGTCTGGTCCAGACTTGATTATTTACAGACCACTGCCATATAGCTGGAATATTGCTGAGTGCGGCGTAAAACTAAACTCACTCACTCACTCACTCAATTTACTGTATATATTGTATTTGTATATACGTTATTTTACCTACAATATACTGTGTGTCACCGAGATCATTAACCATATGTTCCCGTCAGCATCGTTGGACTTCCTCCTGTAACTGACTCATTATATTCTTCACTGCTAACAAGTTCCTTGATATGTATTGTAGTCCAGGGTCATACAGGGTCATCCAGACAATGTTACAGTGTGTAGTGAACATGTTTAGTTGTGCATGGGGTGTGTTCCTTATCCATGTCCAGGGCTCTACAGACGGACATCAACCTGGCACATCTACTCCCTCAGTCTACAATGTGTCTGGCCACCATCAGCAGAATCTGGTTAGTGGCCTCTGTACAACAGTGAAAACTAGATTCACTGGTCCTTGTAATTCTGTGTGTGGGAAAACTAATGTCCTTTGTTGACAGGTATATAATTCATGTGATTTCCCCTTCAACCCTCACTTTGAAGTCCAATAAAAATCAAAATATCCCACACACACAAATACACTTCACAGTTTCGAATTCTGCGGGAAATCTCCTGTTTTTGATACCATCCACTCGTAGTTTATACAAAGCTCAACTGCTGAAAATGACCTTTCAAAATAGGCTTCATCAAAAATGTCGCCATTTTTGACACAGTACGAAATCGCGATTCACAGCGTTATTTGCTGTATGTTTTGAAATGTGAAAATCGGATAATTACTGGGAGTATTGAATTTAACAAGTAACATATTAATGAACACTGATATCACTTTTACATGAAATCGCTAATGATAATTCTGAAACGTTGCCGATGAATCTAGAATCGGTTGGGATGTTTTCGAAAATACACTTACACGAACGCCGTAGAGCGCTTTCCGCCATATTGGATAGTGTTTACAAAATCACGTTTCGCGAAGGCCGGTATTGAGACGCCTATTACATCACGTATATTTCATATTCAGCTTCGAAAAATGCATCACTGAATTCCCCATACATTTTAGAATCAAATTGCAACTGGTCTTTGTCACCAATACCAACTGTCCAGATAAAATGAGACGAAACATATTGGGTGTGAAAACGAACGCTGTGCTCGAAAGACTGTGCTGGTTCGAAATGTAAACAAAGACAAATTCCGAATTTACACTGCGTAGCATTTTCTGAAATTTTCCAACATTCATCCGTCTATTCATTGCTTGCAATGGCTCAATACCTTTGGAATATGCATGGAAAGAGTATCGTAGTAAGAAATAGGAAATTATAAATAGATACAATGCAATGATTTGATAATTCATAAGAAATTGGCAAAGTTTCCGTGCAGCGTGACGCCATGACTGACGCAAAATCACGCAGAACGACAACTGTAATTATCAGCATTTCTGGCTTCTTCTCTTACTTACAGTGAAAACGACAGAAACATATAACAATACACAGATAGTCAGAATCATTCTGATTACTTACATGTCATATTTACGTACAAACGATCCCTTAACCAATGGAAGGGTCCTCGCAAAATCCTGTGTATCCTTGTCAGCAAAACCGCCATTTTGTAAGAAATAGGTCATCGGTAGTGATGTCATACGTCAACATTGTTGTACATATTAGGCAATTTCTTTGAGGTGAAGGTCGGTTGAACAAGAGTAAACACAATCGCCCAATCCTTCCGATTACACTGTCAGTATTATGGTGTATATTTTGCGGATAGTTCAGATACTTTTTCATGAAACTGACCTCAGTATCTACATTTAGCCTTGTCCATTATCATATCATACGTGCATATAGGGTTTACGGTGTTTTATTCTTTGAAAGTTTTTGATTGTTTGAATAATATTTACATAAGAAATTGACACAGTATGTGCAGTACACCATATTCTTAACCTTTACACAAGTGTTTGAAGATCAAACGTAGCCATAACTGCAATTACTTTAGTTCCTATGATGTACAATATTCAATGCATTTGAACTAATATTGCAGTTTCACATGAACAGGTTAATGAACGGCGATTTGAAACCTTATAAGTAAAACTGATAATATTTAATGAAAATGATTTATGTATGTTATGAAATGTATATGCGAACTCATTTAAAGGAATTGTCTTGTTCATTGCACATTTTTGTGTCGTTTTATAGAGAAAACAATGATGTATATTGATTGGCCAGGTGCTTGCGTTTGTCGGAAACGTTTTATGATTCACTATCATTGTTTTCGATAATATAATCAATTCACATTCGATTTAAAAATATTATGATGACAGGATATCAAACTCTAACTATATTTATACGAAATTGTTTAAAAATATATAAACCATGTCATGTCTTAATTTGGACATATCTTACATCCATATTCTAATATATAGTACGTACTAGTTCCATATATAAAAAGCTATCTTTTTTGCATCTTCCATTGCATACTTATGAAGAGAAATAGCTACATAATCATTAATAAAGAAAATTCTTATCCTAAACAAAATATTCGGGTGTTGTGAAATGTTATTTTTCATTTACGTTAAATTGATGCCAAACAGGTGCGCGTGTTGCTCATGATAAGATACACAGTCAAACTGTCTAATTGTTGATATATTCAGGACACTATTTAAATGGAAAAACCAGTCATTTTATGTTTTGTCTAAAGAGTGTTAATTCTGACAAAGAAGCCGAGACCTTTCACACAATTAATGGAAATTAGGTGAGATATATACTAATCAGCATACCGATGTCGTCTTTTTCCGACGTTGCAAAATGCATAAAACAAGCAATGACGTCAACTAAAATGTTGTATTATTTTCAGCAATTTCATTACATTTGAAGATATGGCTAGTATTCTGGTAATAACGATGCTAAATTAGTCAAAATACATCTACACAAACAGGAGAATATAGGAATTTAAGAACTAACATATATATCGGATAAGGCCATCCAAATCGCTATTACGTGATGTCACATGTATTACGTTGTCATTTTTTCTTATAAATTGTGAAACTACCAGAGCGTATCCGCTCACATTGGGGAACTTTGAATTGGGATAGTTTGGTTCACCGTGAACAAAATATAACGAAAATAGAGCGTCCGTATCCACAACAAATACTCTCCATGTGATCTGGGTTACATTGACCTAGTGTTACGCATAACGGAGTTATGCCCCCTTATCATTATACGTGTATGACCTCTCTGTCGTCGTTTGACGTCGTAGAAGAAAATCCATTTTGACATTTATTGCGAGTCATTTTTAATGTTGAGCGTATAATGTTATGCATAAGCACATAAATCCAATTCATATACACTTATGTCGTTCAGATATCAGACTGTATTTTCTTCGCTCACACTTTCCGAAAAGATGCCAAAATAAAAAATTCGTAGCACAGTGCTTTTATCGGTGCGCGATAAAAAGCGGAGAAATTTACTGTTTTTTAACGCATAACAAAAATGTGGACAACATTTAGCAAGGTCTGTTTCTCAAACCGCAAAGGGAGTTGCACTTATATTTATACCAACGGATAGGAAATTTAGTATTCTACATTTCTGTGTAATTTTATAGCCGTACGTAGATCCAGGACCACGCGAGCGCAATTCTCGCACAACGTTCACTTTTCAAAGCGTGTATGAAAATGTGCACCTGAAAAAAAACTCGGCAGCCAGGGGGTTAAGTGAACAGCGATGTTCAGGGTGTATGTAAGTTTCCATGGTTGCCATATTTCTTGCCCAGTGTAATAGCCAATGATATTAGGTGTCCAAGATATTTTTATGGATTAAACTTCTTTGTAATTTCTCTCACGACGTTTCGAGACCATTCCAGGTCCCTTCATCAGGTGTACTGGCAGTTAGGACTATGACGTCATAACTGAGTTATGACGTCACAATGCAAGTGACATCACAGTACACTAGGGAGAGTACTGTATAAGTGAATTTGAAGAGTTATTTACATAATGATGAAAATTCATGCTAAATAATAGAGTTGAAAGTTGAATTGTCAATACACAACAACTGCTAACTACACAAAAGTTACTTGATAGCAGAATTTGAAGAGTTATTTACATAATGATGAAAATTCATGCTAAATAATAGAGTTGAAAGTTGAATTGTCAATACACAACAACTGCTAACTACACAAAAGTTACTTGATAGCAGGCTTTCCAAAAGAATAGTAGACTCGTTTTTCCTTTTTCTAAAGTTCATCAAAAGTTAATCAAGAGGTCCCACGCACTTGGCAGGTAGACACCTTGATCATGATTCATTGCTGGTTTATGTCTCCTTATCTCCACAGCCTCATGTAGTTTTCTCCGACGCCAGTCGTTGTTATTTCTTGAAAGCACCCTGATATCATTCCACATGATTACATGACTTGGGTTATTTGCCTTGTGCTCCGATATAGCTGACTTATCATTTTGTTTGCATACTGACGACTTGTGTTCAGCAACCCGGGTGTTAATGGGCCTGAGAGTCTCGCCAATATATTGATCGCCACAGCTGCATGGTATTTGGTATACACATCCTCTAGAAAAATATGTTGATTGTGATAAGCAGTCTTTCACAGACAAAACTCAATGTCTTTTATATTGACACCTATGTGTGTGCCTGCATGTCTGCTAATGACAATATGCAATACACAACTTCAATCATTGACCACATGCAATCTGAACTTAACACCTATCAGGCTATACACCATAAACAAAATACATTGATTTATGGCTCGTGCACCTGAGTTCTGTCTCTGTCACATTATGTAATTACTTACACAGACAGGCAGGTGTGATACTTGTACACATGACATGTTATTATGTCTGTGGGTTGCCGACTGACTGCATCCATTTTTCTCGGATGACTGGATCGGATGGAAACCTGTGCAAACTCAGATTGTCAGTTTCAAGTCCTGCTTTGTACTTGGACAGAACGACACGTTCCAGCCGTGCAGTAGTTCACCATCTCAGTATTTGTTGATTGGATCAAACGCAAATGCAGAGAGCATGTATTTAAAAAACCCAACATATCTATATACATTCTTTATGGATAACAACTTCTTTAATTTTATATCATGCGACATTTTGGTAGGGATTCTTATACCAATGTGACTCTTGCTTGACAACGGTATAAGAATTCATACCGAAACGTTGCATCATATACAATAAAAGAAGTTGTTATCCATAAAGAATCTTACTTTCTTATTACTCACCATACTTCTAAAATGCCAATCAAACAGATCATCTCTATACACACACACGCAATGAGCCATCAGCGTATTGGCAAATGAACCAGCCAATGAAAGACCTCGTTACACTTGAGTGCACACCCACCCGCTCTGACTCGTTCGTACTCCCGGGTGCTTCGTTTCGAGGGAAGTAAACCCAGTACAAAATATTGCACTTTTGATTCGCGATTGTACGCGTATAATTTTGTTTATTTGTTTTTTCACAATCAGCAATGTATATTATATGTCATGAATAAGTGATAATTGTGTTTTAATTATGTTTGGTTTTTTGGTTGCATGCGACCTTTGACAATGAAAAATGTTTGTGGTGAGTCAATAGTGGAAGTTGCCACATTCTTGCTCAGTGGAATAGCCATTGTTATTAAGCTTCAGGGGTGTTGGTGTAGCCTAATGGTTAAAGCGTCTGCTCGTCATGCTGAAGACCTGGGTTCAATTCCCCACATGGGTACAATGTGTGAATGCCGTTTCTGGTGTCCCCTGCCGTGATATTGCTGGAATTGATATTGCTGGAATATTGCTATAAGCAGGGTAAAACCATACTCACTCACTTACAGTTTTTAGCACTACTATGTACAACACCCTCTCAGTCTCTCTATTGTCCCACCATTGTCTCACTGTTGTCTGTCTGTGTGTACAGGGTATGCTGCCGGAGTCTCTACCTTGACTGCTTATCATGGTACAGCAGCCTCTTCCCAACACTCGCTGTGCTGCCACGAGGAGAATTCTGGGTGAGTGGAATGATTGTCTGCAAGGAGCACCCTTGTCAAAATATACAACCATCCATGAATTTGGAAACCAAGGACCATATTTAACCACTTACTCTTAAGAATTAGACTAACCAGGGTTCTGGTATATGACTAGTTATATAGGGCTAGGGTTACAGTATGACTAGTTATATAGGGCTAGGGTTACAATATGACTAGTTATATAGTGCTAGGGTTACAGTCTGATAAGTTATATTGTGCTAGGGTTACAGTATGACTAGTTATATAGGGCTAGGGTTACAGTCTGACTAGTTATATTGTGCTAGGGTTACAGTATGACTAGTTATATAGTGCTAGGGTTACAGTCTGACTTGTTATATAGGGCTAGGGTTACAGTCTGACTAGTTATATAGGGCTAGGGTTACAGTCTGACTAGTTATATAGGGCTAGGGTTACAGTCTGACTAGTTATATAGGGCTAGGGTTACAGTCTGACTAGTTATATAGGGCTAGGGCTACAGTATGACTAGTTATATAGTGCTAGGGTTACAGTATGACTAGTTATATAGTGCTAGGGTTACAGTCTGATAAGTTATATTGTGCTAGGGTTACAGTCTGATAAGTTATATTGTGCTAGGGTTACAGTCTGATAAGTTATATTGTGCTAGGGTTACAGTCTGATAAGTTATATTGTGCTAGGGTTACAGTCTGATAAGTTATATTGTGCTAGGGTTACAGTCTGATTAGTTATATTGTGCTAGGGTTACAGTCTGATAAGTTATATTGTGCTAGGGTTACAGTCTGATAAGTTATATTGTGCTAGGGTTACAGTCTGATAAGTTATATTGTGCTAGGGTTACAGTCTGATAAGTTATATTGTGCTAGGGTTACAGTCTGATTAGTTATATTGTGCTAGGGTTACAGTCTGATAAGTTATATTGTGCTAGGGTAACAGTCTGATAAGTTATATTGTGCTAGGGTTACAGTCTGATAAGTTATATTGTGCTAGGGTTACAGTCTGATAAGTTATATTGTGCTAGGGTTACAGTCTGATTAGTTATATTGTGCTAGGGTTACAGTCTGATAAGTTATATAGTGCTAGGGTTACAGTCTGATAAGTTATATTGTGCTAGGGTTACAGTCTGATTAGTTATATTGTGCTAGGGTTACAGTCTGATAAGTTATATTGTGCTAGGGTTACAGTCTGATAAGTTATATTGTGCTTTACTGATTTACAGTCTGATAAGTTATATTGTGCTAGGGTTACAGTATGACTAGTTATATAGTGCTAGGGTTACAGTATGATTAGTTATATAGGGCTAGGGTTACAGTATGACTAGTTATATAGTGCTAGGGTTACAGTCTGATAAGTTATATTGTGCTAGGGTTACAGTCTGATAAGTTATATTGTGCTAGGGTTACAGTCTGATTAGTTATATTGTGCTAGGGTTACAGTATGACTAGTTATATAGGGCTAGGGTTACAGTATGACTAGTTATATAGGGCTAGGGTTACAGTATGACTAGTTATGAAGAGCCAGTGTTCTGGTATGCTTGTTATATAGGGCTAGGGTTACAGTATGACTAGTTATATAATGCTACGGTTACAGTGTGACTAATTATGAAGAGCCAGTTTCTGGTATGACTAGTTATATAGTGCTCGGGTTACAGTATGACTAGTTATATAGTGCTAGGGTTACAGTATGACTAGGTATATATTGCTAGAGTTACAGTATAGTTACAGACTAGTTGAGACTTGATGTATTTTTGAGATTGCAGGTATGTGAGACTGATGTAAACTTTATAGATTTGTCTTCCTATTGATTCAGTTATCTCAGACTACACCCCTGCCTGAAGATCTGACATTCTGGCTGGGTAAAAGACTATGTCTGGACAACATGGCAGTGTGAGTAGACAGAGTTGTAACTGACTGTGAGTAAACAGCATAATTAGACCAATGATTAAACTAGCTGACAGTGAGCAGATTAGATCATTACACTGACATTCATCGTGAGACCTTCCACCACGGTTGTATGTGGTCATTCGTTCACCCAGTACAGAGATCTCCCACCTCTCTGACCACGGTTGTAGCTGTTCATCCCTTCTCCCAGTACAGAGACCTCCCACCTCTCTCACCACGGTTGTAGCTGTTCATTCCTTCTCCCAGTACAGGGACCTCCCACCTCTTCCACCACGGTTGTAGCTGTTCATTCCTTCTCCCAGTACAGAGACCTCCCACCTCTCTCACCACGGTTGTAGCTGTTCATTCCTTCTCCCAGTACAGAGACCTCCCACCTCTTCCACCACAGTTGTAACAGTTTTCTCCTTGTCCTGACACAGAGACCCACCATCTACTGGTTACCAACTGTCTCACAGCCTGGTCCTCCCACCCATGTCACTTGGTGAAGATGAGGAAGAACCTGCTGAAGATACCAGTAATCCTCTGAAGAGAAGCTTGATTGTAGAGGAAGATATCGGAGGTACATATTTTTCCAGCTACAAAAACTACTAACTGTTGTTCAAATTACCTTCAAATGAAAGATTCAATCATGGGTTAAGAGTGGTTCTTACAATGTGTTTATGCCCATGAGGATTGTGGATGGAATATGGTCCCCAGTAACCTATACTGGTGTTAAATGGCAGACAGGATCAGGATGCTCAAGTGTTTTGACTTGGTTGGTTGCACGATGGCTGTGTCCCTGGAATACGGCATGAGACAACACACAGTGTTTGTCATCTATCTGATACCACTGTTGCCAACAAGGATATTTGGGGTGATGCTTAGTTAACCTGATGAGTTGGTCTGTTTCCATTCAGGACATCTGCAACTGCGTGCAGGAAATTGCAAAGTTTGGAACACATGTTCAAAGACAGCTTTGGAAAACTGAGAGTGGAAAATGACAGTTGTCCCAGGTGGGCATTTCCTGTACATGGCATTATGTTGTATTATTCTGAGACTGTGATCTTTCTCTTAAACTATTTTCTTTCAGCACCTGTCAGTGTTTCCAGAGTAAAGATTAGTGACACTGTTCAGAGGATGAGTGATACTGTTCCACATAAGAAGAAAAAGAAAAGTACCAAACACTGCAGTGAAACAGTCGGCACAAATTTGTTCAACTCAGGCCAGGGTGAGGATGTGAGGATGACTGATAAGTTATTGCCAGTTGTGAGTGAACCTTCATTGTCAGACCCAGTCTCTGCAGCACAACTGCCAACCATAAAGAAAGAACCAGCACCAAGGTATGGAAATGCAGTGGTTGATGTGCCCATCATTAAAGATGAACCCTCTACAACTCACTCAGGCTCACCATGGCGACCTCAGTGGTCTTCAGTAAAGGCCATAAAGAGAATTGTTCATCAATCAAACACATGTAACACAGTACTGAACATTTTTAAAGAGTTTGAACCGAAAGACTCCATTAATGATAAGAGCATTTGGGATGAATATCCTAAATTTAGTTACACAGACAAATGTCAGTTGTTCCATAACAAATTAGACGTAATTAAGACATGTTGCCGTCAAGCTGATGGTGAAGGTCTGTCTGGTGGTGGCCAGGAAGAGTGGCTGAACGTTGCTAAACATCAGTGTTTCACATATCTCAAGGGTCTGAATGCTTTCAACAAACAACACGTGTCACTGATGATGACATTGGAGGGACTGCAGGAGATGACAGGTGAACTTTCTACAGGGCAACTGACACTGGGAGAGCAAACATGGAAGTTGAATCCACGTGATGCTCGTGTCCTAAAGACGAAGCTGGAGAGTTGTTTGAGGAAGATGCGGAAGGTAAAGCAACCAGCCAAGTGGAAGCCCTTACAGAATAAGGCTCGATATCAGGTGATGAGCTATATCAGGCTTTCTGTGGCCAACAAAGATCTGAAAACAGAGGCCACAGATGATGGTGTGAGGGACAGTAATGTAGCATGTGCTGGGCCATCCATGCCTACACGGCAGCAGTTAAATGTGCTTCCAGCACAAAGTGTATCAAGCACCTCCAACAGGAATGATAACTGTGTCCAGTCGTATATCAGAAACACATGCTTGTTGGAGGAGACTGACCGAGGCCATGTTCCTGTAACACAGAAGTCAAAGAAAAAGAAAAAGAAAAGAAAAAGGCCTCGACCAACAAAAGTATCTAGAGCTTGAAGTATACTTCATGCAAGTTAATGTATAGAACAAGTTCCTATGGTAAACAACTGGGTGGATCAAAGGCAAGGGTCTCATTCAAGAAAACAGTTTATACATTATGTCTTAAGATTTGGGCAGGTTTTCTTCATGTGCCTGCAGGAAGGATGTGGATGAATCAGCCATAGGCTTTGTATTTATGTTACATCTTGGAGTCATTATCAACGAGTGTCACCTACAGACATTATATTGACTGCTCTGAAGCATTGTTTACAAATGATATCAAATATAAACCAGACCTTACTCTGCTCTGATAGCCTTATTCCACAAGAGAAGTTCCCATAGTCTGTTTGGCTCAAAAGCGGACCGATGAATTGCAATCTAACTCGAAAACATATAATTCTCAATGAAACACTGATCATAATAAAACATCAAACCAACTCTGTGAGTCTTTTTGCAGTATTTATGTCCTGAAAATAAAAAGTTGTTTAACAAACTATCATTAAATTCTTGACACCGTTCACTATTTGTTACGAGGGAGGAGTGTAAAGAGAGGAACAGCCAAGTGTAAGCGGAGCACGTGCACAAGTGCCGACAGAGCTATTGATTCATTTACCTGAGCTGTGCCGTATCCATCCTTTCTAGCACACCTGGCTGTCCCTTTCTCTGCACTCCTCCCTCGTAACAAATGGTGAACTGTGTAAATATTTTAATAATAGTTTGTTAAACAACTTTTTTTATTTTTAGGACATAAATTCTGCAAAAAACTCAGAGAGTTGGTCTGATGTTTTTATTATGATCGGCGTTTCATTGAGTATTATATGTTTATCAGTTGTCAAGTTAGATTGCAATTCATCTGTCCGCTTTGGGCCAAACAGACTATAGCTGGCAATTAATTTTGTTGTAACTCAGCTATTAGAAATTAGAACATCATACAAGCTTCTAATAAAAGCGTTACCAAAGACAGTTACTCTTTGAAGTGCTTTTGTTGTCGACTTCACTGTGTAAGGCTCAGTTGTTATGGTTTGAGAATTGAATCACACATGCATGTTGTGACTACACAATACCAGTTAGAAAGTGGGCAAATATAACACATATATTTGAGATTACACCAATCAGTAAAGTACAGATTCCTGTATTTCTAGATTCTTAGAGTGAGGTAACAAATCACCAGCATACACGTTCAAACCTAACAGCTCAGCCATCGCAGCTTCCACAAAAATAATTGTTTGATCGGCACTCTAGAAGTTGGTGACTCAAGAATGAAACATATAACTTTATGGATGACAACTTCTTATTTATTGCTCAAGGCAACAATGCCATCGGCCGACTACAGACAGGCTACACGGCCAGGTTTATCCTCATATCGCCAAGCACCATTATATCAGCAGTTTAACGGCACAGCATTACAGAGATGAAATTCTCAAGCCACACGTCCTTCCCATTATGCAACAAACAAACATCATTTTTCAACACAATAACACCTGACCTCAAACAACAGACTGACAACCTTTTAGATGAACCACAACAACAAAGTATTGCCATGGTCTTAAGGTCTCCAGATCTAATCCCCATCGAACATTTGATGCTCTTGGTCAACGCCTGCGAGCACGCCAGCAACAGCCACAGAACTTCTGACAGTTGGCACAAGCACTGCTAGCAGGAAGAGTGAACGTTCCCCAGGCTACAGTCGTAATCTGATTGGTTCCATATACAAGGTATTGGGAACAGACCCGCCATTATGAGCATCGGTCAGTGACAATGGCTTGTGCAACAATTTTAATCATATTTTTATTTGTATGTATGTATGTATGTATGTATGTATGTATGTATGTATGTATGTATGTATGTATGTATGTATGTATGTATGTATGTATGTATTTTCCTTATCCTGACTCATGCTCTTTTGCTTGTCTCCTTCCTCTTACTTGCGAACATAGTGGAACACTTGTATCTCCCTAATTGAAGTTCCTTCAATGTAAAATCACTAATTAGTACACCACGAGGTTACCTCCCTTCCACAAAGCGGGGAGCGAGGCCACCCTCTACCCATGTGCCTCACTCTCTCCTTCTTAGCCCAGTGAGCTGGGCGTGAGGCGCCTGTGTCTCCGACACACTATATCCTTTGATTATATTTAGTTAGTTACCTCGTATAGAGATCTATAGAGGTTTAGCTAGTATCTTTCAACAATTATATATTGATATTTAGTTAGTGTTTCTACTGTTTATGCGGGGCCGCCGTGCTGTTGCAGTGGATTACGTTGATAAAATTCTGTACTGTTGCACATTCGTTTTTATTCTGCTGCTGATCCGCATTTAATATGCCCTAGCTGTACTGCGCCATGTTTCATGTGATTCCGCGTTGCAGTTCGCGATACTAATTTATCCAATTCTACCTTTAATAAATAATTACTTTGCGTTTGAGGCAGCGCAGCAGATGGAGTCGCATTATGCAGAGTCTAGCATGACTGATACACCTGAACCCCTCGCCAGTCTACTGCTGTTGGTGGACCCCCCCCTCCGTCTGGGTTTCCGCTAGAATGGTGGAAGTGGGGCGTAGTCCGCCGCCTCAAGAAGCGTCCTGCTTCCCCAGACATCCCTTAAAATCGCACTGAGGGGTATTCAGCGAAGTCTACTAGAACTTTCTCAGCGAGATTGTTCTCATACGCGAATTTGGGCCTGTATGATGATCAGCCGATCATCATTCCTGATAATACATCAAAGAATGACTGATGTCGGCAACAGTGATGTCAGCGCAGATCAACATTCGATGATCTTCCTGAGGGTCCGTAAGCTACCAACACTCAGCGCCCAGACCGCACCCCAGGGCAGCGTCGACCTCTGAGGGAATTCAGCGAAGTCTACTAGGACTTTCTCAACCCGAGATTGTTCCAGCCGCTGAACTTGGCCTCTACGATGATCAGCCGATCATCATCCTCGGCGTATGAGACAAGTAGCGACCGGTGACAGCTACAATGACATCAGCAGAGATCGTCATGCAGCCTGATGTCTCTACACTGATGTCAGGCGACTTACCTGAGGGGCCCCACCACTAACAGCGCGCAGAGATGGCACCGACTGCCGTCGTGCAGACCATCCCAGGCGAGCTACTACGGCAAAATCATGAGTGCGTGATGGAGGTCACTACAGACTGGAGAAGCAGCCAGCCCAGAGTCACGAGCCTTCAGCGAAGGCTCCAACTTAGAACAACACTCTAGAGGCACCTCCAGTCAGCGTAGCAGCCAAGGCGATGCAGCCTTCGCGAAGAAGTCGCAGACCACCTTGGCGAAGGACCCAGATGTACAGCCTTAGCGAAGGCCTTGGCGGCCGGGATAGATCATCACATTCCTCGGCTTCATCCTTAGATGCAGACTCAGCCACCAGACCTCCACGGAAGCCTTGGCGAAGCTCAAATCGCCGTTCCCCAGCACGAGCGCGGGAAGCTTCGTTCGAAGCGTTCCGTGAAGCGTTAAGAAGGCATTAGCGAAGGCACTCGGGGAGGACACCCGAATATAGATCGTCATTTAACAGAGTCAAGGGACTACTCAAGAGCTTGCGAAGCTGTCAATAGTCTCCGATCTCCTCGTACATCACCACATCGATCGCCTCACAGGTTACCACACAAGTCTGCACACAAGTCTACATCACCTTCCTAGAGTGGCAGTGCGGCATGAGACATACCTGATGAAGGAAGGCGGCGCCAGATGCTATCACCCTACCTCCGATCGACCCGATTGCTGCGGTAGCACAGAATCTAGACATAGCATCCCATAAAGCCACAAAGTTCAGACACCATAATTGCGAACTTTCAGCCTAGAAGTTTTCCACGCTGACAACATGGACCCCTTCTTCAAGGCTTAAGACATCGATGAAAACTACAAGTTGATCATCGATATCAACAATAAGAACTACAATCGTAAATTGGTTCAGTTGAATCCATGGCCGAGGCGTATGTTCGTTGGCCTAAATAGATCTAGAGCGATCATTGAGACACTTATCACCAGATTTAAGTAACCGACTTCTGAAAATGATAAGATGATCCACTTTCGGCCCTACTTATGCAGAACCAGCAAGTCCCAGGCAGCCTCCGGCGAAGGAGCTAGAGCCTCACCAGCTACAAGGGGCGTCGGCGGAGGAGTAAGCCAACCCGACCCACATCCTGTTAAACACAGAGGCCATTAAAGCGAAGCAAAGCTCTTATATATATATATATATATATATATATATATATATATATTCTAATCGGACTTTGACTTCGATACCTTAGCGAAGGTCGCGAAGGCTAAAGTGGCTCCAAGTCTACTTCACCAGTAGATCTAGAAGGGATACTTGAGAGCTTCGTGAAGTCTCGGCGTTCACCGAGGAAGTCTCCTCCAAGGTCTCCATATACTAGCCACTTTCGTCATATATAGCTACTCCTCAGTCCGTTCAAGACATCGCATAAGTTGTCTATCAACTGTATGCCAGATGCGATCTATAAGCCTCTGCGAAGACAATTGCACAGGCTATTTACAACACAGAGCGTCGCTGTATTAATTTGTCAGCGGCGTTTCATAGATCTTCACAGAAATCAACTATTCATTATAAATTGCTGGTATATGCAATCCCGGACGGCGATCACGATTATCTACATGCGTGACCATTCACGCATATCTGCAGAACAATTCAATGCTCGAAATTGAACAGCAGCCTTGTTACAGCGAGTATAACTCATAATCGTCAACATTTCTGAGAAGAAATATGTACAACAAATTCAGCTTTAATTCTACAATTATGACGATACATTCATGTATACAGTCTACAAGCTGACAACTTACAAGTTATTGTACCTTTATATATAAAGAAGTCGAGATTATATTCAAAACTGAAGTACTTTCCGACAGCCAGGAAAATAACCTACCCAGCATTAATATTACAGAGCAAGGTATTTTTCGCGCGAAGCTTTTCGTAGCGTTTACCATTAATCCTCGAAACCGCGTGGTCACTTTCGGGTAACCGGGGAAGTTACGATGAAGACCGATGATTGTTCTAATATCAGCGGCGGCACTATATTATACAAGGTTCCTTTTCCTGCTACACGGTGACATCACAGCGGGTACTCTACAGAATCAAAATGCCTTATTCTGATTGGACCCGATGAACAGCGCTACCTACAGAGGTCGAGCATAGTTCACAGTTCAAGACATAGGTTGCAAGTGACAACTTTATATCAATGAGCGAGCAAGCCTCCTTACAGCCCAGTTAACCTGAACCTTCATGATTAGGCTGCTTTCTTCAGGTTAGAGACCTCCCTGTCAAGTTTAGACAAGGGCACAGCAGTCAGGCGATTTTACATAAAGTTCATCGAGGACACAAACTCCGGTTGTGCACATACATCGTCAAAGGACATCATA